TTTTTGCAAGAAAAAAAAAAAAGATTTTATTTTGTTGGTTGAAGCCAAACATTGTCTTACCCTTTAATTATAATTGTGATTTGTGAGTATTAAACGAGTTTTTAAAAAATCAAAGCCAAGTTTTTCTTTGGGGGTACATGTTGACGAGCACTTCATGAGTCTAACGAGTCGGGTTATGTATTGTTTGACTTGGCTCTGATTATTAAACGAGTTTTTAAAAAATCAAACTTGTTATTGAGTCAAGCACTTCCATCATTTTTAGTTCTTTTCTGAGATGTCATTTGAAAATAAGTAAACTTTTTAGGGGCTAAAGCCAAGTTTTTCTTTGGGGGTACATGTTGACGAGCATTTCATGAGTCTAACGACCCAGGTTATGTATTGTTTGGCTTGGCTCTGATTATTAAACGAGTTTTTAAAAATCAAACCCGTTATTGAGTCAAACACCTTCATCATTTTTAGTTCTTTTATGAGATGTCATTTGAAAATAAGTGAACGTTTGAGGCGCTAGTTCCAACGTAAAAATAAATAAATAAATAAATATTGAGGTAAGTTTTTATTTTTTTTGATGTTTGGCAAAGGTTTAGATTGAGGCCGAGTCCATAATTTCTATTAAATACGACATGTAAAATAATTTATCGAAAATTAGTCGAAAATTAAGGAGTAAGTTATTTTTGTTAAATTTTAATTTTTTTTTGTTTTGTAAATATTTTTTTACATGTGGTATAGATGACCAATCAAAATTGGTAATCAAGCACTCTTTGACTTTTGGTAAAAAAAAAAAAAAACTCTTTGGCTCAATTATATCATCAATCATGCATTGCTTAGCCAAAATAAAAAAATAAAAAAAATTTCCAATCACAAGGGTTTACACAAGAAAACCAGATATATTAAAAAATAAAAAAATAAAAGAAAGCAAATTAACAAGTCATGATTTAAGTTACACAATCCTTCTCAATAGGCGTCGCTCTTACGCTCTGAGCACACTCCTGCTCAAATTTTCACTGCTTATGACTTAATTATGCACCTCTCACCGCTTTCAAATTTTCACTGCTTATGAGTTATAGTATATGTACACAATATGTAGTATACAAAATGACTATTTGGGCAAGCAAAAGCAGTTGCATCTCTATGTTCAATCTGACTGTACACTTCAATTGCAAGCTCTTTCATCTACAGCACAATTTTTCAACACTTACACTTGAAAGGAAAAGAAATATGAAGTTTGTGGATGTAAAATTTCATATTCACTTGGGAAAAAAAAAAATTCATATTCAATGAACTTCAATAGAGAGCCATTCAAATTGTTGCTCCTGTGAGTCTGCAGTGCTCAATCTGTGTATTTCAAACTTAATCCATATCTTGTACCACGTTCCCATACAACAAAAATCCATCCCAGAAACGGAGATCGGTCCTGCTCACAAATTTTGAATCAAATCCATAAGAAAATAAATCACTAGTCTGAATAAATTGCATTGTACTTATAGATATATATAGCTATTCATGATTAATTTCCAAGACTTACATATTCAGTTCGAATCTTCCTGTTTTCGCACACTGACGATCATCGTTGAGTGGCACTTCAATACGAATAAATAGTATACCATTCACTTATAACAAGTATACATAATCAATTTTAGAAAATATAAAACTTCAATTTACAGAGTTGTATCTTACAAATTTTTTACCCAGAAGGTTGTTGCATCTAGTACAGTGAATATTGGCTACTCTGTTGGTAATTTCCATTCGGTAACGCTCTGGCCCATCGATCACCACATTCACTCTGCATATGCTTGCTATATGTTAATATATACATATATAGATATATATATGAAGAAGAAGAAGAAGAAAGAAGAACAGCTATCACTTTAACAATGTTAATTCTTACACGCGTTCATAAACGGCTTTTTCGAGTGACATATCCTGAAAAATAAATTTGAAACAAGTAGTGAGATCATGGAAGTGCCAGATAAACAAAATGCTAAGTAAATAACTTGTAAAGTATACTGCACAAACTCCACCAATGTGTGTGTGTGTGTGGCACAAAATTATATAAAATTTGTCACCATTTTCAAACGTTTTCTGATTAAACTGAATATTTGATATGCATTTAGAATCAAATGTTACTGCAAAATATAATATGTCAATGTTTAAAACAATCTTCCTCAACTAGGAATTTTGATTTTTTAATGGTCTTTACTCAAAAGTTATAAAAAAAGAAGAAGCCATGTGTGCACTCATATGGAAGTTTAGGACCTCCGATCTTGATGGACTTGGAGAGTGCTCAAAATTGTACAAATTCACACAGTAGGTGCACACACATATATTGCTTTACAAGATGCTGCATATACTATGAACAAGCATGAATTCCACAACATGAAGAGACTACGCATGTATCAAGAAACCCTCAAGAATGAAAACATTCAACAGCAAAGACCATTCATTCAAGCAGTCATAGAAGTTCAGAATTGTTTTAGTTTCAAATTTCAAAACATAAACTTGTAGATATATATATATATATATATCCAGAGAGAGAGAGAGAGAGAGAGAGAGAGTTTACGTAGCATGCAAAATCTGAACTTAAGCAAATGTGGGCTGCGCAAAATCGACAGATATAGTAGTGCAAGTGTTCGATCGAAATATATAAGAAAGAGCCTTCCCATGGTTGCAACTTGGATCATTCACACAAAAACGTTAATGGAGCTCCGAATCACCAAGAATTAACTTCACAAAACAAGGAAAGGTATGCTCTGTTTTTTAAATATAAAAACAAAGCATTAAAGGACAAAAGAAGGAATGTGGACAATGGATTCAGGTTCTTGCTCAGCAAAGATTCTAATTCAAGAAGGTACAAACTGGGTTTGGTTATATATCATACCATGTAGAGAGAGAGAGGGAAAGAGAAAGAGAAAGACAGAGAGGGTCGAGCCAACTGAACGTGTATATATAGAGAAGCAGGGGCTGCAATTCTGCAGTGTCTGAAATGGGTTCAAGAGATCAGTGCTTTTCTTGGTCGAAGCCAAACACGGTCTTACACTTTTGGATATAGTTTTGACTGTATGTATATATATATATACACATATATATAAGCACCTAGCAGAATATAAACACTTGCAGAGAAAAGAAATACGGAGTAGTTATTATTCTGGAATGATTTATGCAATTTCAGTTTCTCCCTATGATTAAATTTGAAAATTAATCTAAAAGTATATCATCAACATTTAAGAGGCACTCTTAAAAAATTAATGTTCACTCAAAAATATTTCTTTTAAAGAATATATATATATATGCATTCATATACGAAACTATATATTTTAGAATTACATTATTCTTGTACTAGAATTAAATTTACAAATATAAATTAATATTTTTTGTTCATCAAGAAGAAAGATTATTAGTGTGTTTACATTTTTTTTGTGTAATCTATAATTGGACTATATATCTAAAATTGTTCGTGCTTTTGGAAGTTTAGCACCTCTTTGAAGGCCTCAAAGAAACCTGGCGTCGTCAAAATTGTACAATATGTAGACTATATATATATATTAAGAAATTCACGAGAATAATAAGTTGATGACACCGAAATTTCAACGAGAGAATGATTACGTGGCATGCCATGTAAGCAAACGTGGGCTCCGCAAAAAAGATATTGATAGAACATTGATGGTATTTTGATAAGAAAGGGCCTTCCCATCCTTGCCAACTTAATTGGGATTTTAATCAAACACAAGCAATGGTGTAGTGGAGTTCAGTTCCAAAGCACCAAAAATTTACTACAACAAACGCGATTCATATGAAAAACATTACAAAAAATAAAAAAGATTATGAAGCCGAACGAAAAAGACAATTTTTTAAAAAACTATAGAGGTATGATCTTTTATCATATAAATCTATTAATTATGAAAATAATAAGAACTTATATCTTTGTGGATCTTTGATTGATCCCAAAAGATTTGACATTGAAAAAGGTCCCAAATGAGATTGGTCTTCACTTGTCATGCGGTGGAGAGGTAGATGTGTGTGCGCGCGCACGCGTTAAATTTTTATAGAGTTAAGATTAGGGTTAGGGTTTGAGTTGTATTAACTTGAGAATATATATATATTTTTTTTCCCATGGGTAAATCCATCCCAAACTTCCAAAGTAATAATACTTGAGTCCCAAGTAATTCCATTCCTTGCCCAACAAAGATCACTAAGTTAGGTTTGTGTGATTTATGTCTCAAATTTTTATATTTGTGTGCCTTCATTCTTATTTTTCTTTCTTGCCATTGCCTTCATTCTTAATTATTAAATTTTATCACAATAAAGATGTTACCCATTTAGTTTTGAATTAAGATTTTTTTTTTTTAAACATTAATTACAAGAGTTTTGTTTAGTCACTAAAGGGCCGACACTCAAACCTGAGTTTGTGTATACTCACCTATTTTTATTTTTTTTATTTTTTTTGTTTGAAGAGCAAATTAATTAGAAAAATCGATCTTAAAACAACACGAGGAAACATATATTTAGTCTTAGGAATCAGCCACAACGAGAAGATGACTACCCCTTTAATCACTGAACAAATTTTAAAACATATAACTATCGTTTCGTTAAAAATAAATAAATAAAGGATAATGCTTAGCTATTAACCGGTGAGTCACTTTACCTTATTCACCCCTAGTGTGTTCCAATAACAACATATCACACATCTACTTTAATAAAAAAAGTTATTCAAAAAATTATTCAATGGTTGATCCGAGATAATACAGAGAACCGTGAATAGCTGATATGATATATTGTCATTGAAACACATGAGGGGCTAAGTATTATCCATAAATAAAATACCTAAGCAGCTAAGTATTATCCATAAATAAAATACCTAAGCAACTTGATAAAGACGACACATTAAAAACTATGAGAAATGATGTGAAAACATTAATAATTTCCAAAATAGAATAAGAAACATCATCTTAGAAATTCCAGATAATCTACTTTCAATTAGAAAACTGGACATTATTCTCAATCAATGAAACGTAACTTGAATCGAACCTTTTCTTCTTCATAAAGCAATATTAACAGAAATTTAAGACAACACAAGCTGAAAAAAAGGCCTTCCCTGCCCAACCTGCTGCGATAAGTAAATTACAGAGCAACGAAGATGTATGCATTTGAATTATGTAACTTCCTTCGGATTTAAAATCCTTAACCCATTTGTTTCAATTCGGAGTTTCGGACTGTACAGTTCAATCCCATGCTATTCTATCCACAACAAGAATTTTTCACATCTCACTTCCAAGAAAAAAGAAATTGGACAAATATAGAGTATGTCATGTCATATTCAATGAACTTCAATAAAGCCCTTCTTCAATTGGATTTGTATCCTCTCTAATATTTCATATCCCGTCATCATGTGCAGTAACCAATCTGTGTGCTTGAATCTGGTTGGGGTAGCTGTGGAACACATTTCCATCCCACCAAAGGAGATTGTTCCTGCTCACAAATTTTGAATAAAATCCATAAGAAAACCAATACTCTCAATTGCATTATAGATATATATTATACTGATAGATTGATTTCCAACACTCACAAATGCAGTTTAAAACTTTCAGCTTCGACAAGTCCATCGTTGTTTTGCACTTCAATCTGAATAATAATATACCCTTCACTTAGAATAATTATACAAAGTCAAATTGGAATATATATATAAACTTTTACGGGAGTATCATACATATTTTATGCCCAGAAGGGCATTGCATCCAGTACAGTGAACATTGGCTACTACGTCAGCCTCTTCAATTCGGTAACGTTCTGGGCCATCAATTAGAACATTGGCCCTATATCGCACACATAGTTGCCACAAAAGCTAACTGTTAAGACAGAATACAGGGAGGAAGATGAATAAAAGATTATTAGTTAAAAAATGTTATGAATGCTGAATTCTTACTTGCTTAGGAAAATGGCTTCACTGTTTATCTTGTCCTGAAAAACAAATGAAAACAAATAGTGTAAAATCACAGACTTCTTTTTTTATTTGACATTGTATACGAAAACAGAAAGATTAGCTGCGGATAAACAAGAAGAAGCTGAGTAAATAATTTATAAAGACTGTCTGGTTGCTTACTCATGCAAAATCAAATAACTGCACTATCACCATTAGTTTTCCATGTAGCACAAAATTACCCAAATTTCGGCGTTTCCAAAACATTATCTGATTAAACTAAAGATCTGTGCATGTTCAGAAACCAAAGTAGTACCAACTGTATCATATGGCATTTGCTTTCCTATACCACTGCAAAATACAACATGTTGATCTAACCTAATCCCTTAAAAAACAATTCAATGATGGACAATCCGCATGTACTGGTTTTAAGTTGGAATTTCATTGAGGATTTTTTCAACGAAACGCACAACATATGTGAAGCATGTGCAAATTAGACTGCTTAATCACTTCAACAGCAGCATTGCTGTTTCAAAATATATATATATATTTACAAGGAAGCTATATAAAACAATTCTTTGTTTTCAAGGAAAATACAAGCATACTAGTTTTAAGTTGGAATTTCATTTGCTTTCCTATAACACTGCAAAATACAACGTGCTGATCTAACCTAATCCCTTAAAAAACAATTCAATGATGGACAATCCGCATGTACTGGTTTTAAGTTGGAATTTCATTGAGGATTTTTTCAATGAAACGCACAACATATGTAAAGCATGTGCAAATCAGACTGCTTAATCACTTCTACAGCAGCATTGCTTTTACAAAATATATATATATATATTTACAAGGAAGCTATATAAAACAATTCTTTGTTTTCAAGGAAAATACAAGCATACCATCTTCATTTTTTCCCAGTTTAATATATATGTGCATTCATAAATAGTACTGTTTATTAAAATTTCATCATTCTGATACAAGAATTAATATACTAGTTGTTCAGAGAGAGAGAAAGTACTCATGTTTTTATATTTTTCTTGTAATCTCATTTGACTGAATGTAAATCTAAAATTACTCATGTTTTTGGAAGTTTAGTACGTTCTTGAAGGACTTGGAGAAATAACATTGCTTAAAATTGTAAAAATTCACACAGTGTACACACATAAAAGGCATTACAAGATTATGGAAAGCCATGAACTCCTTCCACAATAGGTAGAGTAGATATGTATCAAGAAGCCCTCGAGAATGGAAAAATATTCAACAGCAAAGGGCATCCAAGCAGTCATAGTAGTTTAGAATTGATATAGTTTCGACTTTCCAAACTTTAACATGTGATGTGGTTGAGGGTGTAATTTAGTGCATGATTCGCAGAAATTCAACAAGAGAGAGAAGAGAGAGAGAGAGAGAGAGAGAGAGAGAGAGAGAGTTTACCAGGCGAGCAATGTGGGCTTGGCAAAAACGACAGAGAAAGAACTCTGAGTCTGGAGTTAGATCGTATTGAATAAGAAAGACCCTTCCCATCCTTGCAACTTGGATCAATCAAACACAAACAATAATAGAGCTCCGAATCACCAAGAATTTTCAGAGAGCAATCAACTTTACAAAACAAGAACAGAGCTCTAAACTAGCAATCCAAGATAGATTTTTTTTTTTTTTTTTAATACAAAAACAGAGCACTAAAGGGACAAAAGAAGGAATGCGGACGATGGATTCAGATGCTTGGTCAGCAAAGATTGAAATTCAAGAAGGTCCGAACTGGGTTTTGCTTATCATGCCATGTAGAGAGAGGGTGAAGCTAACTGTACGTGTATATATAGAGATAGGAGGGGTTGCATTTCTGAAGTCTGAAATGGGTTTGAGAGAGTGTTACTGTATTTTAATTAAAAATTATATTAACCTTTTTGTATATATAGGAGGAATAAGGAAGACCCAAAATTATTTAGTTTGTAAATATTTTAAGAGAAATTGGATTTTGTAAAACTAAAGATGTTACCCATTTAATTACCAAGTAAATCAAATTGCAACACTGACATGCCTAAATGTCAAAATAAATAAATAAATAAGAGATGAAAAGCACACTGATTATCATCTAAATTCACAGGGCAATAAATACTGCGTAGTATATTCACTTAAAATTGTCTTTAGGTGGTAAATTGATGAACTCAATCCTACTTAAACCATAAGCTCTACAGAAATGAAACTTGAGAAATTCAATTCTAAATCCTAATAGTAAACTAATTCTAAAACCCTAACCCTAGATAGGCAGAGATAGAAGCAATTGATAACCTTGAAGAGCTGGTAGACTCGGTCACCGGCTTTGTGCCCTCAGACACGGCGTGCTTGGCCAATTCACTGGGAAGCAAAAGGCTGACGGCGGTCTGGATGCTCTTCTTCGACCTCTTCTTCTTCTTCTAGTCTCCGGCGATGGTTTCTTCTCTGCCTTGGGTACCATCCGTGATTTTCTAGAGAGAGAAAGTGAGAGAGAGTTGAGATTTTGATATTTCGTTCGCAGGCTGGTTTTAGTTGTGATGCAATGTATATGGGTACTGCTGTTAAAACCACAAAATGTATCATGGATATGTGTAGTGCAAATGTGAGGAATCCATTATTATTATTTTTTCAAGTTTGTTTGTTTGTGTGCAAAAAATAAAAAAATTTAAGTTTGTTTGCATATACCGTATGTGTATTTCTAAAAAATACAAATAAATAAATAAATCTCTGAAAATAATGAGCTGTGTTTGGGCTTTATGTAACAGTTGAAAAAGTTCATCAATCGGGCTTCCTATTGAAATAGAGAAATAAAGGATGAACCATGATAAATGTTTAAATATTACTATCTAATTTTTAGGAAAATACATATATATTTATATAATTTTAATTTTAATTGATTGAAGTCTCTCTCCATGAAGAAAGATTAACAGGAAACAAGACAACAAAAGTTGATAAAAAGATTAACACGAAAAAGTGTAATTGAAAGAATTAATTCTGACAATTAAGATCACCGTCATAAATATTTATTATCTTTTTAATTAATTCTGATTGTTAAGATCACCACCATAAATATTCATTGTCCTTTCATACAATATTTGGGTTTGAATAGTTACACCAATGTAATAATATGTGATATAATTTATAACTTTATTATGATACGCCATGATTAATAAAATATAAAGTAGAGTAATACTATTAAATATCAAAAATAAAATGAACTCACTCCGATTCTTATGACAAACAAGAAAATTTGTAGTTGAAAAACCACCATAAATACTCATTGTCCTTTTTGATTCGAGTAGTTACACCGTTATAATCACATATGTTGAAACTTGTAACTTTATTATGATACGTCATAATTAATAAAATATAACAGAGAATAATACTACTCCTATTAAGATGAAATGAGCTCACTCCGATTTTTATGACAAACAAGAAAAATTTTAGTGGAAGGAATTAATTCTGACAGTTAACATTAGCACCATAAATATTCATTGTCATTTCGCACAATACCTAATTACACCATTGTAATCACATGTATTGCAATTTATATCTTTATTATGGGTTCGAGTAATTACACCATTGTAATCACATGTATTGCAATTTATATCTTTATTATGAGACGTCGTGACTAATAAAATATAAAAGAGATTTATACTATTTATCAAAGATGGAACAAAAAAAATTAAAGTTGAAGGAATTAGTTCTAATAGTTAACATGATCACCATAAATACTCATGGTCCTTTCTCACAATATTTGAGTTTCGGTGGTTACACCATTGTAATCATGTGTTACAACTTACAACTTTATTATGATACGTCATGATTAATACAATATACAAGAGAGTAATACTATTAAGAATCAAAAACGAAATGAGCTCACCCCGATTTTTATGACAAACAAGAAATTTTTTTGACCAACTTGCAATAAGTAAATTACAAAGCAGCTAAGATATATGAGCATTATTTGAGCATAAGCAAATCACAGGATTACTATTATAGCAGCTTGAAAATGCACATTTGAATTATGTTCCTTCCTTCCGGTTTAAAATCCCTAAAATAAAAAAAATAAAAAAATAAATAAATAAAAAGCCATATTCCAAATTAACACCTTTGTTTCAATTCTTACTGGTAGAATATCAGAACCCTCAATTGCACTGGTAGATAGATTTCAATGACTCACCAATGCAGATACAATGCTCCTGCTTCGTCGAGTTCATTGTCGTTATGCACCTCAATCTGAATAATATACCATTCACTTACAAGAATTCTACATATTCAACACTTGAACAGATACACATCATACACATTTGTTACCCAATTAATTTTGAATTACAAGAGCTCTGTTTAGCCACGAATTAAAAGATTGACATTCAAATTTGGGTTTGTGTATGGGTTCAAAAAGCATATTAGCAAAATCTTACATAGGAGGAAAAACTATTTTAAAAAAGATCATTTATTAATATATCACTTCCACAACTTGATAAAAATAAATAAATAAGAAATGATGTAAGAATATTATTAATTTCTAGATTTTAGTGGTTACAACCACAACCGTCCTTCAATGAAATAAGAAACCATGCTAAAAATAATAATAATAATAATAAATAAAATAAATAAATAAATAAGAAATATTAGCTTACAAATTCCATATAATATACTTTGGACTAAAATAAATAAATAAGAAACATTAGCTTACAACTTCCATATAACATTAGCTTATGTGTTTTGGCCGCATAGAATTGAAATCTTGAAATTGGGGATTCGTGAAATTTGAGAAATTTTTTGTTCAATTTTCTTAGTTATTTTTCTCAAATTCCACTAATTCCAATTTCAAACATCGAACACACCTTAACACTATTCTCAATCAAAACCTAAATTGAATCCAACTCTTTCCCCATGAAAGAAGATTAATAGAGTAGAAAACAAGACAACACAGGGAAGTAAAAAAATACTTGTAATAAGAAAATTTTAAAGCAACTAAGATATACAAGTACTATTACAGCATAAGCAGATTACAGGATTCTTATTATAGCAGCTTCAAAATGCATATTCAAATTATGTTCCTTCTGATTTGAATTCCTCAACTAAAAACACTTGCATATCCCAAATTAACAAGAAGAATTTTTCACTTCTAACTTCAAGAAAAAAAAAATTGGACAAATATATTTCAATGAAGCCCTTCAAATTGATGTCCTGTCACTCTGTGCAGTGACCAATCCGTGTATTTGAAACTGGTTGAATTATTGCCAAGCCAGAGGGGCGCTTCCATTCCAGAAACGGAGCTTGTTGCTGCTCACAAATTTTGAAACAATTGTACATTAGAAGATCGATACTCTCAATTGCACCATAGATATATATACATATATATATATACTGGTACATGGATTTCCAATACTCACAAAAACAGTCCAAATCTTCCTGCTCTGACACGTCCTTCGCTGTTTCCAACTTCAATCTGAATAATATACCACACAATTAGAAGAATTATACATAGTCAAAATTATAATAGATAAAACTTTTATGGGAGTATCTTACATATTGTGAGCCCAGAAGGGTATTGCATCTAGTACAGTGAACATCAGCTACTTTGTTAGTACCTTCCATACGATGACGGTTTGGGCCATCGATTACAACATTGACACTGTATACATACACATAAGTTGCCACAGATGCTAAATGTTTAAGACATAATACAAGGAAGATGATGAACAGCTTATTACTTTCTTTTATTAAAAAAAATAAAATTGTTAAGATCGATGATTCTTACGCGTCTAGGAAAATGGCTTTACTGTATGTGGCGTCCTGAAAAATAAATGGAAATGAATAGTGAGATCAGAGAGTTCTTTTTTTATTGGCATTTTCTACAAAAGCTGAAGGATAAACAACAAGCTTTGTAAATGATTTAAAAAGACTGGTTGATTGCTTGCTCATGCAAAATCCAATTACTGCACTATCTATCACATTAGTTTTCCCTGTGCATTCCACCAACTTTTTTTTTTTTTGATGGTAAAGCAAACACACACACACACTTTTTTACCCACGCGAGGGCTCGAACCCCTCCCCTCTTCTTTGAAGATGGGGAGGTTAAACCATTGGGCCAAAGGCCCTTTGGTTGCATTCCACCAACTTGTGTGTATAAGTATAGCACAAAATTACCCAAATTTTGGAATTCGGGAAACATTAACTGATTAAACTAAAGGTCCAATAAGTATTTATAACCAAATGTAGTATTATGATACAGAAAATACAATGTGTCAACCTTTTTAAAATAATCATCCTCGTATAATGAATTTTGATTCTTGAATTGGTCTGAATATGTACCAAAAAAGTTTCATCATCCACCACTGGTGATCTATCCTTGTCCCTCGATCACAATTTAATGATAGACAATCCACAAGAACGGGTTTTAAGTTGGAATTTCATTGAGGATTTTTGCATGAAATACATTATATATGCAAAGCATGTGCAAATTAGACTGCCCACTTCTACTACAGCAATTGCTTCTTTTGTATAAAAATATAATAATAATAATAATATTTATAAAAAAATTACTGCAATCTTAATTAATAGGACATCATTCCAAAAGTTGTAAAAGCTATATATGCAAACAATTATTTGTTTTCAAGGAAAATACAAGGATACCATATTCATAGTTAATCTAACTAGTTTAATATTTTTGAGGTATTTTGAGAAATACATATCAAGAAATACAAAAAGAAATACTTAAAATGCTTCAAAAGAAATACAAGCATTCACACAGCACAAACACATAAAATGCTTCAAAAGATCATGAATGACCATGAACTCCTTCCACAATAGGTACACTCTATATACATATCAAGAAATCCTCAAGAATTAAAAAAAAAAAAAAAAAAAAAAAAAAAAAATCAGCAGAAAAGGGTATTCAAGCAATCATAGAAGACTAGAAATTTAGAATTGATATAGTTACAAACATATAAACATGTGGTTGCATGATGCGCAGCAACCAAAAATTCAACAAGAAGAGAGAGAGAGAGAGAGAGAGAGAGAGAGCTTACAGCGCCTGCAAAATCTGATTGTAAGGCAATGTGGGCTTCGCAAGAACGACAGAAGGAGAACTGCAAGTGTTGATCAAATTCAGTAAGAGTAAGTGCGTGCCTTTTCATGGTTGCAACCTAATTGGATTAATCAAACACAAACATTAATGGAGCTCCGAATCACCAAGAATTTTGAGAGACCAAAAAACTTCACAAACAATAACAGAGCTCTAAACTAGCAATCCAAGATAGATTTTTTTTAATACAAAAACAGACCATTAAAGGGACAAAGGAAGGAATTTGGACGATGGATTCAGATTCTTGGGAAGCAAAGATTGAATTTCAAGAAGGTCCGAACTGGGTTTGGTTATCATGCCATGGAGAGAGAGATAGAGAGAGAGAGAGAGAGAGAGAGGGGGTGAAGCCAACTGTACAGGTATATATAGAGATAGAAGGGTTGCAAATTTGCAATTCTGAAGTCTGAAATGGGTTAGAGAGAGTACTGCAACTGTATTTCGATTAAAATTTGTATTACCTTTTTGTATATATAAGAAGAATAAGGAAGACCCAATTTTATTCGGTTTGTATAATATATTTTAAGAGAAACTGAATTTTGTAAAACTAAAGATGTTACCCATTTAATTAACATTTAAAACTAATTTGCAACACTGACGTGCCTAAATGTGAAAAAACAAAAAGTCAAATCACAGATCAAAAGCACAATTATTATTATCTAAGGATTTTTTTTTTTTTTTTTTGACAAATTATTATCTAAATTCAAGTATTCCCGGTTGTTTAGCAAACAATAACTTCAGAAAAATATATTCCAGTATTGAAATATTATTTATAGGTGGTCAAATGATCAACTCAATCCTACTTAAACCATCAGCTACACAAATGGAACAATACAGACAAATAAACTAACTCTAAAACCCTAACCCTAGGAACGCACAGATACAAGCAATTGATGAACAAATTGATCACCTTCAAGAGCTGATAAACTTGGTCACCGCCTCTGTCCCCTCAGGACCTTAAAGATGTAGATCTTGTAGGTCTCCATGCTCTTCTCCGACCTCTTCTTCTTTTTCTCGCCTCCGGCGGCAGCGCAGGCTTCCTCTCTGCCTTGGGTGACATCGGTGATTTTCTAGGTAGAGAAAGTGATGGAGTTGGGATCTGTTTTTATTTTTCTCTCTCCTCAAGTACATTTTTTTATTTTTTTTGAAGTTATGTTAGTAGAATATAGGGTAAAGTGTAAAAAAAAAACCGCTTAACTTCACTCTCTCTCCCTAAAAACTCTTAAACTATTTTTTTTATAATTAATTCCCTCAACTATTAATTTTTTTTTTGTAAAAACGTACCCATCGATGAAGTTCGGTTTGATTTCTCTGGCCAATTAGGCGCGTGATGCACACATGCCAGCAATATATCTTTAAAATATCTTTAAAATGACAAAGTTACCCTTATACTATTAAAGATACTATTAAAGGTATAAAATTAAAATTGAAAAATAAAAAAAATAAATAAAAAAATTTCCTAATTAAAACCAAACCCTATCTGAATTTCACCACCGCCCCTCAGCCACATTCTCTCTCTCTCAATATAGCCGTCGCAACCTCATCACCGCTGTGAACCTGCTGTCGCCACCACCACCGCCGCCACCACTATGAACTTGCCGGCAGCGCGCGTCTCCATCTTCGATGCCGTACTCTCACCCTAAACTCGACCAAGACACCGTTGCTTCAGTTATGGCTGGAATATCACCAAGTAGCAAATAGCTATGAGAATATTGTGATGGTGTTTCGACAACGACAAGACCCTCCGACGTGACGTCTGTTGCAGCGGGTAGTTTTATTTATAATATGGGTTTGGCCATTAATTGAGAATTTTACAATTGGGCTTGGTGAGTCTGTTACCATCGAAACGGCCTGTTGAGGAGTAAACGAGGATGGGAATTTTGCAATTGGATTTGGTGAGTCTCTTACTCACTTTGCAAGCCGAACGTAGTCAAGAAGGCTATAAAACATGGCTTCTCTGTTGAGGAGTTTTTCGGGCATGTGGGAGGCAACAAAAGGCACCCCTATTTGGAAGAAATCAACGAGGATGGGAAGCGGTACTCCAGGTTCTGATCAATGAACTGCTCGTTGGTGTCATTTATTTGGAGGTAGCAACTGTGATCAAAGCATGGCTCCCAATAGCGAGTGGCGACCGGCGATGGTGATGGGTCTTCACCTTCGTACCTAAATGGCGAACAATTGTCATCAAAACATGGCTCCAAAGAACGAGTGGTGACCGGCGATGGTGATGGATTGTCTTCACCTTTGTACTATAAATGGCGATGGGTTTCTATTTGGGGTTAGGGTTAAACTGACAGATTGGGTTTCAAATTGGTGTTCTGAGGAAGTTTAGGTTTCAGCAAATTGGGAAGTCGATAGGATTTCGGCGAAACTCCTCATCTGTCGCTCCGCTGTTGGTGTGCTATGATTGTTCCCGGAAGAGCGCAGAACAGGTGCTCATTGCACAGGTCACTTTGGTTGTACAAAAGTGAGGTGGGGAAAGTGCTGATAAGATGATGTGTTGTACAATTTTAATTGGTTCTTGAGATTTTGCTTGACACATCAGCAACACAAATTTGTAAAGCACTAAAACAATGTCGTTTCATCAGAGGGATATATTCGTAATCTTCGCTTTCCGGTACCAGAGATCTCATCATTGTCCTCAACTGCAACTTTTTAATAGTTCAAGGGCACTTGTTAAATCAGGGGGTCTTGTGCAATTGCCTGATAGTTTAGGAGAATTTTTTACATTTTACCCTATAATATATTAAATGCAAAATACTACAAACCATTTGCTAATGAGGCCAACGATTGTGGACTAGCCAGCAAATGCAGTAAGGAGTTACAAGCCGAAGTGAACAAAAGTAAAACACCGCAGGCCCAAGCCCAACAATATAGCACAAGACATTCTTAGTCTAGGTGAACCCTAAACCATACAATTACTTATTGCTGAAGCTCCCGCAGATACCCAAATGCTCTCTCATTCTCTCTCATTCACTGATGATAACAAATTCATCCCACCATGCACATTGTCCGTCGAAAAATGTTTTATTAAATGTTATAAACTTATAATATATACTAGTAATTTAGAGATTAATTTTATTATTCTATTATTTATAAAAATATATGACTATGAACAATTTGATTTTATAGAAATTTAAATTAAAATAAAGTTATTTATAAATAATTTTACATTTTTTTAAACTAAAAATTTACCGAATCACAAAAAAATAAATTAAATAAACCACCATATATAAATATGGGTTGATTTGTAGAAATGGAACACACACACACACACACACATATATATATATATATATATCACAGCAAAGATTAAGAGCTGAAGAGAGCAGTGGCGGTTTTGATTTAGAGAGGGGGTAAAAGTTTCAGAGGAAGGAGGAAGAAGACCTTTTAGTAACTTTAAAAATAATAATTATATTTTTAATTTAATATTAAATAGTAAAGTCAAATTCAACATTTCACAATCTAGTTAAGGGGTTGAATACGGATCACTTTTTAAAATATCGGTAGTTTTATGAAACAAGTTAGAGGTTTATGAAATTAGCCACATATATATATATATATATATATATATATCAAGGGTGGGTTAAGAAAGAAAGTAAATATGGAGGGTAATTTAGGTATTTAGTTTTATCTAGGGTGTGAGGGCAAATTAAATTAAACTTGAAGGGAGCAATAAACTCATACCTCATGAGCATTTATCCTTTATATTATTATAGTACATTTGTAGACATGTTATGGGTTAAAAAAGAAAGTAAAATAAAATTTACTACGCAACAGAACTTACCTGTAGACGGAATAATAGAAGTACAAGTTTAAGTGTTTATATATATATATATATATATGTGAAATTTTTACATTTAGTAGTCCACGTATTGATGGAGTCAAAGTAAAAAAAAAAAAAAAAAAGGTGTGTGTTTGACAAAATGGTTGAGGTGACAGGTGAATTTTTACTGTTTAAAAATTTATTATCTAAAATACTTTTTCTTTTTTTTTTTTATGTCGCCTAAAATGCCCTTGTCCATATTGCAACACATTTTACCTTTGGACCCCATTCTCTCATTCGTGCAAGGGCCCTCTCTCTATCTGCCCTAACCCTCAGTGAAATCTCAGTCGTGAAGCTCAAGAGTAACCCTCACTGAAATCTCATTCGTGAAGCTCAAGAGCCCTCTCTCTCTCTCTCTCTGTGATGACCGATTCTATTTGGTATGAAATGAAGCCAGACCTAGGTTGTGTATCTCTCTCCTTCACAATTTAATTCAAGGACGAATCTAGGGTTTGAGGTAATTTTTCATGTATTTTTCTGTCTATAATCTGTGATTTTGGTATGGGTTTTTAATTTTTTTCTTTTGGTTTTCCATCTAACCCACTGAAATCTCATTCGTGAAGCTCAAGAGCCCTATCTCTCTCTCTGATGACCGATTCTATTTGGTGTGAAATGAAGCCAGACCTAGGTTATATCTCTCTCTCCTTCACAGTTTAATTCAAGGACGAATCTAGGGTTTGAGGTAATTTTTCATGTATTTTTCTGTCTATAATCTGTGATTTTTGTATGGGTTTTTAATTTTTTTCTTTTGGTTTTCCATCTAACCCTAACAGAGATTCTCAGGCTCCGGGATGGGGTACATAACGTCTGGAGTCCGATTGTGGTTGCTAAGGATGCCCCTCAACTCACGCCGGAGCCTGAAATCCCCGAACTCTAAAACCACAGAGTGGATATATATAAATATGTGTGTGTGTATATATATATATATATATATAAACAAAGTGATCTGAAAGAGAGGTAAACATGGAGCAGTTACATAAAGATTTATTTGAATTATTATTAGTCAATTTGTACAGATATGACGGTTGATGGATTCATATAGAGGATGTCAATAAATGTGTTGTGTTCCTTTCTTCTTTTAATCCGCATTTTTTGCTCATTGTCTATGTACTTGTGACTGTGGCTTAAATTACCAATTTATATATCAGAATTTTAGAAAATCTAGCCATTATCAAAGTACTTTAAGAAGTTTCTTGAAAAATCTATAAATGTATACAATGATTGTGTAAATTACCAACTCTGTTTAAGGCTATAACATTTTTTTGGGTAATTAAGGCCGGAGAAGCTAATTGGAAAGTTCCGGTAACTCTAATTTATAAAAGAAACAAAAATATAAATTAGATTCTATGAGTTTTTTTTTAATTAATATGTAATTTCCGCAAGCAATTGCATCATCATAGTTATATTCGATCTTGTTTTAGTGTGTTTTTTGGGATGTCAAACACTAATATCTAATTCAATTCTAGGCCTCCCTCAAATAAAGCTGATCTCAGACCTTAATTGAAACATTTAACTACATTACTTTCATGCAGGTTTTCGAAGTATGTTCCGAAATCCTAGCACCTCAATTAATAAAGTGTTGAATGTTGATATCCTGATAATATATAGCAGGTTTTAATCTATGTGCCCCAATTAAGAAATGTGTCTTTCAGGGTCTAGGATTCTAAGTTTTTAAGATACGTTTTTACGGAAAATGATGTTGACACATCCCTACTTTAATATTCTCATTTTCTATATTTAAGTTGGATTACTTAATCATGTCATGATATCATTCATGTTGCTTGATATCATGCTTGATTAGTTGCTTTGAGTGGTTTTCATAATTCTTATCTTATTTCAATTACTCACATAAGGCATATGAATCATTCTATCATTAAGCTCTGTTTAAGGGTACAACTTTTTTTGGGTAATGCATGTTTAAGGTCATAAAGTCATATAGTGGCCTTTATTTACACGTCCATTGAGTCAAAGTCATATAATTTCAAAAAAAATGTGTTTGACCCTAAAGCTGAGGTGGCACATGAATTTTTACTGTTTAGAATTTGTGTGGACTAAAATGCCTTTCTCCTTATTTTCTGTATTTCCTAAAATGCCCTTTCTCCATATTTTAATATATTGACCTAATTGCAGCCCCAGCTCTTTCATATCCCCATTTGGTGCAGCTCCCTCTCTATGCCTCTGTAAAACAGGCAATCAGCCCTCTTTTGTGCGCCCTCTCTCTCCCCGTCTCTGTAACCCAGCCATAGCAGCATCCCCACTTCTCCACTTCCTTTGGGTGGATCTCCCCCTTCATTTGAGTCGCTTTGCTTCTGGTAAGTACTCCCCCTCTCTCTCAGAACCCTCTCTTCCACTTCCCCTCTGATCTCCCAGTAAATTGTTGCTCTCTTCACTATTTTCTTTAGTCATTTTCTTCTTCTCCTTCTTCTTCTTCTTCTTCTTTTTTTTTTTTTTTTTTTTTTTTTTTTTTCAATTATAGTTCTTAATTGTAAAGAGATAGAGATGGAATGATACTCGTAAGCATTAAAGAAATGATATTTATTATAATAAAATGAGAAAAGCACAGACTATGATGAATTTGCTTTTTGGGGTTGTTATCTAAAGGTGTTTTAGAGATTTGAAGTAGACTTAACTACAAATTAATTAAGTTGAGGTTTGTTATAGTATAATTTAGATAAGCCTGATATATATACCAACAGAGAAGATTAAAGAATGAAAAACACAAAGTGAAGAGAAGGATAATTAGTGTCCCATTTGTTGTTTGATGTACCAGAAGAGTTAATCAAAAAACACATTGCTCCGTTTTTGGGTGCAGAGAACACAGATTTAAGTCATTTAATGCTGCGTATTGGTTGATATATTTAAACATCCAACCTGAACAAATAACAGTCTACATCTAGCATTTGCTGTATGGTGTGCAGTTGTTTAATTATGATTACTTTTGTTTATCAAAATATAGCTTTTTTCTTATTAAGGTGAAGACTAACGTGAACTGTGACAAATTTATTTTTTACGAATGCTCAAATATAGATTAAAATATATTAACAAGCTACCATTATATAATGATAACAATAGTACAAAGAATGCACCATTGTTTTCTAATATCCAAAGTCCTTGAAATGATAATAAAGATTAAGAGTGCCTAACATGTTTGAAACTGGACTGCCTACCACAAATACTCCCAAATGTGAATCTTTGATGAGATGGGTGTCATATTAATAGAGAAATCTGGGAACCCAGAGAAATAGCTTTTCAAAGACAGAGGTGACTTTCCCTGTGGGCTAAGTTAGAATTCCAGTAATCATCTTCTAAACACACATACTTTTGTGGCTCTTCTATGCTAATTTCTGGAAAGCTTGATTTGTAATTGAAAACAACGCTTAATTTCTTTAATTTTTTTTCATTATTATTATTTTTATTTGTGAGGTTGATCTACTCTAAATATATGCATATATAACTGCAACAACAACTAAGACTTTTTTCAATTACTTGGGTTAGGTACATGAATTCTAGATTTTCATTTCGCTATAATATTTCAGGCATAACCTCAGTCAACTTGTGTATTCATAGGATCCATGTTCATATTGGTTATCACAAAGTTTTAAATCGATTGTCAATCTACCTAACACAGACCTCCTCTTGTATTCGGGCTTGAGATCCGCGGTGTAAAATATGCATGACTATTATAATATATTTAATGTGAGAGAGTATAACGATATTTCTTAACTAAATAATAGAAAATCTAATTAAAACACTAAATTAAAGTTTAAGGCACATAATTTATTGATAAAAATAGCTAGCATGATATTTAAAAAACATCCCCAAGACTTGGGATTTAGTGGTATCTCTCCTTCTTTTCAAGTAGAAGGAAGATGGTTCAACACTTCAAGTCTTCCTAAAATATTGAGGGAGTTCTTTGTCACATGTATTGAAAGATGAATAAGCTTCATAATTTATCACCGGGTACGTGAACTCTTTTTTTTTTTGTTTTTCCCTAAATGACAGAAATTTTATAAATTTATCAAGTAAAAGTACAATTACACATGAGGAGAGCCCTCACAATATCCCACAAACAAAGGGATACACCAAAACAAATCCTAGACCATTTTTTTTTTTTTTTTGGAAAGTTAAGCTGGTTTTTCCATTAAACCACTAAGGCAAAATCCATACACCTTACTTGGGGCATTCCCCAAGTAATAACATATTCCCGAAGTGAGAATTCTCAGCAGGACTTGGTTGCTGGTGCACCTACGGGTCTTGAACTGGCTCATTGCTGCCCCATTTCTTATGTAGCACTCCAAAATCTTCTTAAAAGTCCCTCTCTCCAGAATGCAAAGCTCCAGAGGCCCAACTAAGTTGGTTCTCCTCGACACAACGTATCCATGATCGACGAAAGATGCATCCAATTTCCCTGCAGCATTCGCTCAGAACCCTCTCTTCCACTTCCCCTTTGATCTCCCGGTAAATTATGTAGTAACCAGGTTGCTTCTCAATGTCAGCATGGCTCGTGAAATCAACTAGCTCGCCTCTCGCCTTGCTCAGTATCTGTGATCCCCTCTCCACCACAAACTATAGGTCTTTTTCTGTGTTTCTGTCTATGTTTACAGTTAAAATTAGCTTCCTTCTGCATATAAAGTTCAGTTTTGGAGTTCCTTTGTAAAAATCAGCCACCTTCACCACATCTCCTAATCTATACCTATAAAGCGTTGATCATAATGTAGGACATGAGAGAGTGATCAGTTAGTTGAAGAAATCAACATCAAATGACATATACAATCAAAAGAAAATAACGGCATAAGAATTAAACAGTGACTAGTGACCACACAATTAATTGAACATTACCATAAGGTCCACATATAATTAACAATAAACTATAATGACAGTGATGGCCCATGTTTCATAAATTTCTAACCTACTTTCTTTAATTGTACAAGAGCATCATCAATCATGAAAACGAATTAGATTTTTCCCAAGATCTTCTGTCCTTAAAATCATTGACAGTCCCTGACGTATTCCAAAACTTCACGTTGGCTTGTTGTAGGAAAAAATAGTAAAAGTACATTTTTTGCTCTTTTGTCTAGATGTTGTCAAATCATCACATGGCTAAAATTCATGTGATGTCTGTCTGTGAATTGGGCTTTATATTATAAAACATATGATGATATAGAGAGATATGTGAGGTGTTGTTAAATCATCACATGGGTAAAATTCATTCTCATGTTTGTGAATTGGGCTCTAGAAATAGACATATGACAAATGCACAAAACCATAACATTAGCACTTGTATATCTCAGTTGTTGATGTATGGAGCGAAAGTATATAGAGCGAAAGTACTCGTTAAGAGATGCGTGGATTGAAAGTAGTAGTTATACATTCTCAATTGTTCTCAAAACTATTCCATTTTTAACTCCTCATATCGATGGTTCATTTTTTTATGTAATGACGACTGGTATGTAATCATCATCTCCTCCACCAGGATTTGGTGTGTATTTATTTTTCAATGTGTTCAAGTGTGTATTTATTTTTTCCTTCAATAAAATAAGTGATTGTGTTTCTACAAATGTACCTTGTATGAAGTTGAGAACATGAGAATTCCCTCATGGAAATATAAATGGTTGAGTTGTGCTTGCCAATGTAATAATATTTAATAAGACTGAAATCTCGCAGTGGCCAACGTTTTTAGGTATGATTCTCGGGGACCTTATAATTAATTGAACTATTTTTTTTTTCAACTTTAAATGTGTAATATTTTGATATGTTTAACTGTATATTAAGATTTGCCCAAGGTAAAATAAGTCATTCTGTTTCCATAAACTCTTCTAAATATTATCAAAAGCCAAAATAAAGATTTCTGCATTTCATAAAAATACTACATAAATATAGCCATATATGCATTTACATAGGGGGTCACGTGCCTTAAGTGACCATTTTTTTTACGGTGTATAGGGGGTCACGTGCCTTAAGTGACCATTTATTGTGCGTAAATGAAGGTCGAGAAATTTTTGCGAATGGAGTGTATGAACTAGAAGAACATGAGTTCTGTTAAAGGGTTGGAACTACTTGCATTAAAAAACAACTACATTTGCTCCTGTTACCTTCCCCATGTATGTTTGAAAAATAATAAATTAAAAATTTTACAATCAAAATTTAATATCAGAATACATTTATATTATACTATATGCTCTAGTCAAACTTTATGTTATTTTTCTTAATCAATATTTTATTTTTAATATATATTTTTATTTTCTTAATCATTTTAATCTAGGTAATTATGTATAATTTTTCGAACTTAAATTGAATGAATATATAGATATAGATATTTTTATACAGAACTTGACGCATGGCAAAGAACTAGTTGCCGTTCACAAACACCTTCAGACAATGACTAACCCAAGCTTTCTTTCATTCCATGACAAATATACCCCTGGCGAACCGACTTACCCTATATCTCTATCGAGGTTGAACCTCCCTCTGCCGTGCGGCGCTCCCTCATCTCTCTCGGTCTCGTCGTCTCTGCCGTCCGTCTTCGCCGCCCAACCGATGTCTGGTACCCCTATTTCTCCCTTTTTCTTTTCTTTGCTAGCTATAACAATTTTTTTTTTTTTTTGTTCTCTCCTGTAGATATAAGTCTATCTCTCTGTATACACGTCTTATGCATACCTGTCTGATATCTTTATTATTAATAATTTTTTTTCTTAGTTGAAACTGATTCACATTTATTTTTTATTTTTTCATTTTCTTTTTCATTTTCTTGATTATGAACAGCACAACATCTAGTTATTTAATTATTTTCTTTGATTATGATTTTATATGTTTTGTTGGTTATTTTATTATTTTCTTTGATTATGTTTTCTCTAAAATATTTTTAGGGCAAATCATCCTCCATCTCTATTCTCATTCTCAACTCTGAACTTGCCCCCTCTCTCTCTCCAACTGCAAACTACAAAACCTACAAGAATCAGAAGTTCAAAAGCCATATATTTAAGTTTAACTATCTCTCTGCAAAAATCAAAAGTTCAAAACCTATTACCTATATCAAAACCCATATCGGCATATCATTTCAGATTGTTCAAAAAATCAAAACCCAAATTTGATGAAAACAGCCTCAAGGCGGTGCTCTGCACCCCCAACCAAATAACATTTCATTTGTTTCTAATTTACGCACCCAACCTTCCTCTCTCTCTATATATATATAACACCTTGAATGTCTCTATCGCAGAGAATAGTCTGCCTTTTCACCCTCATAGTTTCACATTCTCCTTGTTCTTCTCATTCTTCTCCTTCTCAGTTCCAGAACCTTCTTCTTTCGCTCTCCGATCAACCTTTCTTGTTCCTCAGATTATCCACCCCCCTCTTTTGTTCAACCATGCCGCAAAAACAAGTACCACACGCACACACACGCATATTAGGGCTATTAGTCATCGTTTCTGTAACAAGTATCGCAATAGAACAATTTTATTTTCAGATTGTTGCTAATTGATTTATCTTTCTTGGCATGTTTTTCAACTTATAGAATAAATTTTTCCTTATTATTGCCTGAATATCAGAATCATTTTAAATATATGTATGTGTATATATATTTAGGGCGATTATACAATGTTGTCTTTAAGTTTGATGATTCATTGATTAGTCACATGTATTGTTGCAAATATCGCAATAGAATAGTTTTCTTCTCAGATTGTTGTTGAATCTTTCAATTTTTAATTCATTAATCTTTCTTGGCCTTTCCTTATTATTGTTGGAACATTAGAATCATTTTTGGTAATGTTTGCTCTTTTTTGTTGTATATATTACATGATATCTTATGATGCACCTTTTCGTTTTTTAAATTTGTCTTTGCATTTGAAGATATCTTGTTGTCTTTGGAGTGGTTTTGACTGGGGTTCTTAGATACTCCATCGATATTGGTTTAAAGTTATTTTTTCTTGAATTACTTGGTGTACTTGGTGTGCGTGTATATACATATAGATTATACATTGGGGGCGATTATACATTTTCGTTTCTTGATAATTCAAAAAATGATAGTTAGGCACCGGCATTATTACATGTTTTGCAGTAGAATCAGTTCTCTTTTGTAGTTGTTACTGAATCTTTCAACGTGTAATTCATATATCTTCTTGGCATGTTTTTCAATTTATTGAATTATCTTTTTTCCCCTTTTTGTATTTATATTTTATTGTTCTTAAGTTTGTTTGATATGAAAGGATGAACCAATAGGAACCTGCATTGGTAGAAATTGACACTGCGATTTTCTGATTGTTGTTGAATCTTTCAATGTTTAATTCATTCATCTTTCTTGGCATGTTTTTCAATCATTATTTTTTTGTATATAATATATGATATCTCACAATGCACCTTTTCGGTTTTTAATTTTGTTTTTGTTTTTGAAAATATTTGGTTGTCTTTTGTAGTGGTTTTATTGGTTTTGGCTGGTGTTTTTAGATACTCCATCGGTATTGGTTCAAAATCATTTTTTCTTGAAATAATTGATATTTGAATTTTTCACTTTCTATTTGGTTTTAAATAAGAAACTCTAATACTTATGTTTATCTATTGCAAGTGTTCACCATCTTTTGGCTATTGTTAACGTATTGATTGACTTTTGGGGGCTTTTACTAATTTATCATCCATATATAATATATTTGATGCTCCAGTGGATCCTAAGAAGCTTAAATCGGCATGCCCATAAACGTACAGAAAATGGCAGTGGCAAGGTGTAACGAGTGGGCGCTTGCCCATTTACCCAAAAGCTCGAACTGTTAAGTAAGGCTGCATGCCCACCCATTTATACCCAATCTCTTTCCCATCCGATTCCGATATGGGACAAAATGATCCTTGTTACATTCTCCCCCACCCAAACTCGCAACGCCCTCGTTGTGGTTGGGTCACCCTGCCTACCAGGGTGGACTCACCCGGACGCCTTCCGGGCCGGGCGCTTGGCGTGGCATCGGATCAAGGACTGGGTTTGGCTCTGATACCAACTGTAACGGGTGGGCGCTTGCCCATTTACCAAAAAGCTCAAACTGTTAGGTAAGGCTGCATGCCCATCCATTTATACCCAATCTCTTTTCCATCCGATTCCGATGTGGAACAAAATGACTCTTGTTACACAAGGTATGTTTAATGAAAATTTCAATTCTATTATTAATTAAAATTTTATTTATCTAACTATATATGTATGCATGTATGCTATTTACAGATCTGTGGATCAAGATCTAACATTCAACCATCGACAGAGAAGACGAACAAAATGGAAATAAGTAACATCTATGCTCCACCAAAAAACATCCAATCCATCAACAGCATCCCAATCTATGCTATGAAAAACTTGTTAAATAAAACTCAATTTGCTGAGGCGCCCTTTAGCCTTTTGTTTTGTATTTTTGGTTTCCGCTCCCCTTTTTGAGCGCTTTAAATAAATTCTTACTTATCAAAAAATAAAAATAAAACTCAATTTGGGCCATCTTGTAGAGTGCCGATAAAAAACCAGGAAAAAACTTGCCCCGCTCTTTCGCCACATGGGATGGTTGTCCTAGTGCTAGTTGAGGAAAACAAAAATTATAATAAATAATTAAATTTTAAAAGTATATAATAAAAACTAAACTTCATACCAAACTAAAATTCGTACCTTCAGGCCGCCGTGGTTTTTTTTTGAATGCATGAGACCCTGCATGAAGCAGCATGTTCCTAATGAATCTAAATAAATCATATAGAGACTGACCATCATAATCTTTGACATCATCCTCTTGGCGTTCACCACCCTCTTGGCCTTTTGAATGGTGTCCCATTCTGTGTGCCGTTTGTTGTGATTGCCTGCCGGATGGCAGTTGTGCCGGGAGGACTTGCTGTGCCACTGCGACGCTTGGCTCCTCTGGCTGTGGGTGTTGCTGTGGGTGGTAAGAGTCAAGGAATGCCCGCTCTGCCACTGATACCTATGGTTGGACTTTGCAGCTTGGGTATCGGTTGGAAGCGTTGCATGCTTGGCGATGAGGGATAAAGCAATTGGGGATCTGGGGTAGGGATGGCAACGGGGCGGGTTTGGAGCGAGTTTCCCTAAATCCCGCCCCGTCCCGCCCCTTTTACTTTTTGTCAAGTCTATACCCGCCCCAAGACTTGCGACGGGTTAGATTTTCATGTCCAGCCCCGCCCCGTTAAGAAATACTGTGCCCCCGTGCCCGCCCCGCTAACAAATTTTTTTCTCCCACTTTTTCGAACTTAAACTCCTGCTATTTAAATATGCAAAGCCTAGGAATGTCACAACATAAATAAATTATGTATCCCAACAAAAATAAAAAAATAACATGCACATAACATAATTCAGATAACATAATAAACAAAAATAAAAGTTTAATACAACCAAATCACAAGAAGTTCTAAGCTCTAACTTCCACCATAACCAAAATAAAAGCAAATTTAATACTAAGTTTACATCCCAAATTAGGATTATAAGAGATGGGTAATTAAGTAAGCCGCTAAAATAACTTATTAATATATATATATATATATTAAATATAGTTATATGCGGGACGGGGCGGGGCCCCTAGGATATGTATATTGAACCCTTACCTGCCCCGTGACTGTCGACGGGTACAAAATTTATATCCATATCCGCCCCAACGGTATAAAAAGTGTTCCCATATCCGTTATTAACGGGACGGGACGGGGCAGGGCCTCGGCGGGGCGGTAAAAATTGACATCCCTAATTTGGGGTATATGCCGGTGGCTGGCCTTCATATCGCAGTGGTTGGCCTTCGTATCTCGGTTGGAATTCCACCACATTTGGGTTCAATGGAGCCTGCTGGCCTCCATGTGGTAAATCCCTTCATCTTTAACTTAGCATTTAATCAAACATGACATATTCCCTTCAGCAAACTAACATAATGTTGTGTGATATAATATTAACACCCTAAATTAAATCTATGCATTTGCATCACCATTTTTTAGTGATCTCCTTTTTTCTCTAGTAAGGTAAGTAGGATTAAAAGAAAGTAACTACACAAAGATATAGGGGCCATAACCCAGGAAAGAAATCCCAAAAGGAACATGCAACAAGTGAAGTAAAAGAGTAGTGCCTAAGACATCTTGAGCAATTTTTTAGTCTAAAAAAGTTCCCTTCTGGCCACACACACACAAACACACATATTTCATCTTTTTCATTAAATATCTCTCTCTATTACATGTATATATTTACTGATATATATTCAAAAAAAATTCCTAAATGAAGAACAAAGAACCTTCCTTTTTTGGTAGACTATTAGGTTCTTTCCATTTGATCATTCGTTAATTACTCCTTCCATGTCTCTTACGATTTATAATAAAACTAACCTGATCAAAAGCTTATACACATTTATTAGGGGTTGGTTAACTTTCTCATCCAATTATTTTGTAGCAAAATTTTAATGGAGACGACAAAATATTTTTGGCGATAATGTTTCCCATAATAGAGTCCGTATTCATGAGTACCATATCTCAGTGGTAGCTATAAAGCCTGTAAAAGAAAATTACATTGTTCTCTCTATCTCACTCAATAATTTGGAAACACAAATACAAAAATTTGACGACTCTCATCGCCCAACAATCACCTTTAGAAATTGCTTTTTGATGACCTTTATGTCTCATGTTTATTTATTTATTATTTTTAATGGCTGACCAAATAAATAAAAGCACCCAAGTTTTTCTTTTTCTTCCTCCCGCCACGCTCCTCCACCTCCTCTTTGACGGTGGAGGAGTAGCCGAAGTTACATGTCTAAGACACTGTTCAAACACATGATCCTTTAACGATATAGGCCTATACCCCCAAAAAAAAGGGTTAAGATTCGAGTTTTAGTGGAAACGTGGGTGTGTATGTGATTACTATTTATTTACGGAAAAAAAAAAATTCAATGTTAATATGAATTTTAGTAATTAGTTGGAAGTCATAATCCAACATTATTTTATTTAGGGCAAAGTACATAAAACTCCCCTCGACTTGTAGCCTTTTTCAGTAAACCCCTTGTTTATTTTTTTTACCAAAAAACTCCCCTCAACTTTCTGAAGGGAGTAAAATAGTTGATATTTAGACTAAAATACCTTTTTATTTAAATCTTAATTTTTCCGAATTTCAAAAATTCATATCTCACAAACCGTACATTTAAAAATTGTAAATAAGATATGCACGGAAAGCTTATGAAATAAGAATTCTAGAAATATAAGATTTGTACAACAAAACTTTAAAACTAGAGAGAAATAGGCAATCTAAAAATCTACTCTAACAATCTTTTTTTATTTTTTTTAAAATAAAATATTTGAAAATTTTCAGAATTATTCATTTATATACAGAGCTAAATATATAAAAAATTTAACCCCAATAGAGATCGATTTCATGAGATATCATAATTTGCGTCAAAGTATTTTAGTTCTTTTTATAGACTTACTATTTTAAAATAAATAAAAATGAATATTCAGTCTCTATTGGGGCTAATTTTTTAATATGTTATGCTCCATATGAAAATGAATAATTTTGAAAATTTTCTTGCAAATAATCCTAATATTTTATAAAAACTAAAATAAAATAAGATTGTTGCTGTAGATTTTTAGATTATCTATTTCCCTCTGATTATGAAGTTTTGTTAAACAAATCTTATATTTTTGGAATCCTTGTTTTATAAGCTTTCCTTTCATATATTATTTGCAATATTTGGATATACGATTTGTGAGATATGAATTTTTAAAGTTTGAAAAAATTAAAATTTAAATAATAAAAGGGCATTTTGGTCCAAATATCAACTCTTTTACCCCCCTCAGATAGTTTAGGGGGGTTCTTTAGTAAAAAATTAGACAAGGGAGATTTATTGAAAAGAGCTGCAAATCGAGGGAGAATTCTTTGGTAAAAAATTAAACGAGGGGGGTTTATTGAAAAAAGCTACAAATTGGTGAAAATTTTTTAGTAAAAAATTAAACAAGGGAGATTTATGTAGTTTGCCCTTTTATTTATTACCTTGGAAGCTTAAATACCTCAACATTTTGCTCACGTGGGACTTCAAATCGACCTTTTACTCTAGAATGTAACAAAGTATCACTTTGCTGGTCAATCGTATCCAAAATGACCAGGAGTTTTAATAATCGATAACTCGGATATAAATTTAAATTTTACTCCGAATCAAAATTATCACAATAATCACATAACCAATTATGTGAGTTTGTGTGTATATATGTAATTAAATATATATATATATATATATGTATGTATGTATGTATGTATGTGTGTGTGTGTATATATACATATATGAGTCAAGTGTAGAAAACATTCTTAAAGTATATTTTTAGTAACAAATTTAAACCCTAAGTTGACTATATTGTCCTTATTAAACTATTTTATAAAATATATAAAAATAAATAATTTGTAAAATGATCGAAAAGGATATTATTGAAGGATGTCCCTCTCGTGCAAAAAAAACACTCCTAAAGTTTCAATAAGGTGAAAATAGGTCCCTATGACAAATTTAAACCCTAAGTTGACTAAATTACCCTTAGAATATCATTTTATAAAATATATAAAGATAAATAATTTTATAAACTGACCAAAAATGACACTATTGGAGAAGGCCAGTAATGGACAAGTAAAGAAAAAAAAATAAAAAATAAAAAACAAAAAACAAAAATAAAATGCAAACTAAATAAAACAATTTTTTTCCAAATTCTGAAAACCAGTGTACACTGATATTGGGATTTTTTTTCTTTTGTTGTTTAAAAGTGTTGGTATGAATAAAATTAAAATAAAGAAAAAAAAAATTGTAGAAAAGGGTAAACTAGAATTTCAAAAAATTCAAATCATTATGCTACAAATCTCAAAGTTTTTTTTTTTTTAAAAAAAAAAAATGCTGAGAAAAGTTAAAAATAAAAAATAAAAAATAAAGTAATGTGTACATAATATACCCTCTGGTAATTTTCGGAAGAATAAAAAGGCAAAACGGGTATTACAATACTAATTTATGTCAGATGTAGTATTTTTGCCTAACGTGAAAAGATTAGAAGTATTTTTTGCACACTTTTTTCCACTTGGGATAAAAGTGCTAAACAAAATATACTTTAGAGTAATGGGGTGAGATTCTAAGAGTTGAATGAATATATATCATTTATATATATTGAATAAATATATAAACCGTTAGATATATATTGAATATATATTGAGATTCTAAGAGTTGAATGAATATATATTGAATAAATATATTGAATGAATAATAAATATATATACCTGGTCATTTAGAGAGAGAGAGTCTTGAGCTCTTGCTCTTAGTGGAGTAAGAAAATTAATCCAAACTTTTTATATAGACCGTCATTTTTTAAACCCACCTATATCATTCCCACTATCACCATATTTTTAGTTTCTATATTTAATTTTACCATTACCACCTTCTATAGTAATAAAAAATGATTTCCAAAATAAAAATAGAAACCTTTGAAAGAAAAATAATACGTGTATATATTACTAAAATTTTATTTTTATTTAGATGTTTCTTTGAAAGAAATATAAAAACCTTTGAAGGAAAAATAATACCGATATATATTACTAATTTTTTTTTTTTTTAGTATGATATTAGAGCCTTTTTTCTAAGAAACATTTTCTTGTTCTCAATGTTAAATAGTAAGTGGTCTTTTTTGCATGTGCACATGCTAAAATTTAAATAAATACATTTTTCTAGTATAAGTAAATTTACCAACAAATAAACAATAATGTTGCATTTTGGAATATGGAATTGATACATTGGAATTGAAATTGGAGAAAAATTTATTTAAAGTTTGAACAAAGTTTCTTTCTATTTCAATTTTAAGATATCTCGGTATCTCTAAACTGGCTTAATTACATTTTGAGGAGTTGTGTTTGATACAAATTCTCTTGTTGAATTTTTTGACGCTTGTGTTCAAAGATATAAAACAAATGATCTTTCTTTATCCTCAAGTTATCAATTGAAAATAGCCAATATAAAGACTTTCCAAATCAAGTCTATATAAAGAAAATAGCCATATGTAGGAGCAATATAACTACTAATATTAATAAGAGACCATACAATTGAATTTGGTGACGTGATAACAAATACTTTGTGACCTTAAGAAATAGTATTGTTGTTATATTTGATGAAGAGGATAATTGAATTTAGCCTTTTTCCTAAGAAATATAACAACAATACTGTTTTTTAAGGTCACAAAGTATTTCTCATCATGTCACCAAATTCCATGTAACTTTTACAAACATACTTAATATATGATTAATTTATTAATAAAATTAGAAAGAAAAAGGAAAGATAAAATTGTAGTCCAAACAATATGTGGTCTAACTATAACATATACTTTATATTATTTATTTAAATATTATCTGAAAATATAATGTATATAAATATAATTATTATTATAAAATAATAATCTATAAATATATAATTACTTATAACATATAATAGAACTATAAGGTAAAATAGGATTTTCATTTTTACTTTTGTAAGAAAGGTGGTCAAAGGGGTTTATTTGCACATTTTTTGAAATTTGTGAACTAATATGCACATTTAAAAAAAGTAGGTATTAATTATGCACAAACCCTATATATGAGAGATTTTTTTTTACACTTAACCCAATATAATCACATGATAAGTTTACTTGGTGTCACACTAACAATATGAATAGAATAACATGATAAGTTTATTTGGTGTCAATCTAAGTAAATATCGAACATGATATGAATATACTAGCATAACCAATTCTAAAAATAGTAGGACGCCTACATTGCTACCGCTATATATAAATTTGAATTTTTATTTCTACATATATATATAAAATAAAAGTATTATTATAAAACTTTAATTAATTTCTCTTATACTGAGAGTGCCCATTCCCATAGTTCATGGTTGGTGAGGAATGATATGATGTTAGAATATAACTATCCCCAAAGGTGCTTTAAATGCTTGTACACCTGAACCCAGAAATTGAATTTTATCACAGTCAACATGTTACCCATTTAATTTTGAATTATAAGAGCACTGTTTAGCCACTAATTAAAAGGTTGACATTCAAATCTGAGTTTATCTATTGGTTCGAAAAGCATATTAGCAAAATCTATCTTACAGTCACAATTTTTCTCAATAAGTATCGTTCTTGCTCAAATTCTTACTATTTATTACTTAATTCTACCGCTCTCATGCTCTTGCCCCTGCTCCCTATGAAAAAAACTATTTTAGAAAAGATCATTTAATGTATCAGTTCAACAACTTGATAAAAATAAATAAATAAATAAGAAATGATGTAAGAATATTAATTTCCAGATTTGAGTTGTTAGAACCACAAATGTCCTTCAATGGAATAAGAAACATCGGCTTACAAATTCTATATAATCTACTTTGGACTAAAATACTAAAATATTTTTTTCGAATTCCACCAATTCCAATTTCAATCATCCAATTCCAATTTCCAATTTCAAGCATCCGATCACACCTTGACACTATTCTCAATCAAAACCTAAATTGAATCCAACTCTTTCTCCATGAAAGAAGATTAATAGAGTAGAAAACAAGACAACACAGGGAAGAAAAAAACTAAATCTTGTAATAAGAAAATTTTAAAGCAACTAAGATATACAAGTAATATTACAGCATAAGCAGATTACAGGATTCTTATTATAGCAGCTTCAAAATGCATATTCAAATTATGTTCCTTCTGATTTGAATTCCCCAACTAAAAACACTTGCACATCCCAAATTAACAAAAAGAATTTTTCACTTCTAACTTCAAGAAAAAGAAACTGAACAAACATATTTCAATGAAGCCCTTCAAATTGATGTCCTGTCACTCTGTGCAGTGACCAATCCGTGTATTTGAAACTGGTTGAATTATTGCCAAGCCAAAGGAGCGCTTCCATTCCAGAAACGGAGCTTGTTGCTGCTCACAAATTTTGAAACAACAACCGTCCATTAGAAGATCAATACTCTCAATTGCACTATAAATATATATACATATACTAGTATATATACTGGTACATAGATTTTCAATACTCACAAAAACAGTCCGAATCTTCCTGCCCTGACACGTCCTTTGCTGTTTTCAACTTCAATCTGAATATTATACCACACAATTAGAAGAATTATACATAGTCAAAATTAGAATAGATCAACTTTTCTGGGAATATCTTACATATTGTGAGCCCAGAAGGGTATTGCATCTAGTACAGTGAACATCAGCTACTTTGTCAGTACCTTCCATATGATGACGATTTGGGCCATCAATAACAACATTGACACTGTATACGCGTACACAAAAGTTGCCACAGATGCTAAATGTTTAAGACATAATACAAGGAAGATGATAAACAGCTTATTACTTTTTTTATTTAAAAAAAGTTAAGAACGATGATTCTTACGCGTCTAGGAAAATGGCTTTACTGTATGTGGCGTCCTGAAAAATCAATGGAAATGAATAGTGAGATCAGAGAGTTCTTTTTTGATTGGCATTTTCTACAAAAGCTGAAGGATAAACAACAAGCATAGTAAATGATTTAAAGAGACTGGTTGATTGCTTGCTTATGCAAAATCCAATTACTGTACTATCACATTAGTTTTCCCTGTGCATTCCACCAACTTGTGTGTACAAGTACAGCACAAAATTACCCAAATTTTGGCATTTGCCGAAACATTAACTGATTAAACTAAAGGTCCAATAAGTATTTAGAACCAAATGTAGTATTATACAGAAAATACAATGTGTCAACCTTTTTAAAACAATCATCCTCATCTAATGAATATGTACCAAAAAAAGTTTCATCATCCACCACTAGTGATCTATGCTCGTCCTTTGATCACAATTTAATGATAGACAATCCACAAGAACGGGGTTTTAAGTTGGAATTTCATTGAGGATTTTTTTCCATGAAATACATTATATATGTAAAGCATGTGCAAATTAGACTGCTTAATCACTTCTACTACAGCAACTGCTTCTTTTCTATAAAAATATAATAATAATAATATTTATAAAAAAAATTACTGCAATCTTAATTAATAGGACATCATTGCAAAAGTTGTATAAGCTATATATGCAAACAATTATTTGTTTTCAAGGAAAATACAAGGATAACATATTCATAGTTGGTCTAACTAGTTTAATATTTTTCAGGTATTTTGAGAAATACATATCAAGAAATACAAAAAGAAATACTTAAAATGCTTCAAAAGAAATACAAGCATTCACACAGCACATACACATAAAATGCTTCAAAAGATCATGAATGGCCATGAACTCCTTCCACAATAGGTACACTCTATATACATATCAAGAAATCCTCGATAATGAAAAAAAAAAAAAATCAGCATAAAAGGGTATTCAAGCAACCATAGAAGACTAGAAATTTAGAATTGATATAGTTACAAACATATAAACATGTGGTTGCACGATGCGCAGCAACCAAAAATTCAACAAGAAGAGGGAGAGAGAGAGAAAAAGAAAAAAAAAATTCAGCAGAAAAGGGTATTCAAGCAAAGCAAATCATAGAAGACTAGAAATTTAGAATTGATATAGTTACAAACATATAAACATGTGGTTGCATGATGAGCAGCAACCAAAAATTCAACAAGAAGAGAGAGAGAGAGAGAGAGAGAGAGAGTGCGTGCGTGCTTACAGCGCCTGCAAAATCTGATTGTAAGGCAATGTGGGCTTCACAAGAACGACAGAAAGAGAACTGCAAGTGTTGATCAAATTCAGTAAGAGTAAGTGCGTGCCTTTTCATGGTTGCAACCTAATGGATTAATCAAACACAAACATTAATGGAGCTCCGAATCACCAAGAATTTTGAGAGACCAAAAAACTTCACAAACAAGAACAGAGCTCTAAACTAGCAATCCAAGATAGATTTTTTTGAATACAAAAACAGACCATTAAAGGGACAAAGGAAGGATTTGGACGATGGATTCAGATTCCTGGGAAGCAAAGATTGAACTTCAAGAAGGTCCGAACTGGGTTTGGTTATCATGCCATGTAGAAAGAGAGAGAGAGAGAGAGAGGGTGAAGCCGAGAGGGTGAAGCCAACTGTACAGGTATATATAGAGATAGAAGGGTTGCAATTCATAGAGAGAGTACTGCAACTGTATTTCGATTAAAAATTATATTACCTTTTTGTATATATAGGAAGAATAAGGAAGACCCAATTTTATTCGATTTGTATAATATATTTTAAGAGAAATTGAATTTTGTAAAACTAAAGATGTTACCCATTTAATTAACATTTAAAACTAATTTGCAACACTGACGTGCCTAAATGTAAAAAAATAAAAAGTCAAATCACAGATCAAAAGCACAATTATTATTATCTAAGTTTTTTTTTTTTTTTTGAACAAATTATTATCTAAATTCAAGTATTCCTGATTGTTTAGCAAACAATAACTTCAGAAAAATATATTCCAGTATTGAAATATTATTTATGGGCGGTCAATTGATCCACTCAATCCTACTTAAACCATCAGCTACACAAATGGAACAATACAAACAAATAAACTAATTCTAAAACCCAAACCATAGGTACGCACAGATACAAGCAATTGATGAACAAATTGATCACCTTCAAGAGCTGAAAAACTTCGTCACCGCCTTTGTCCCCTCAGATCTTGTAGGTCTCCATGCTCTTCTCCGACCTCTTCTTCTTTTTCTCGTCTCCGGCGGCGGCGCAGGCTTACTCTCTGCGTTGGGTGCCATCGGTGATTTTCTAGGGAGAGAAAGTGAGAGAGTTGAGTTGGGATCTGTTTTTCTTTCTCTCTCGTCTCAATTACTTACTGCTGAAGCTCCCATAGCTACCGAAATGCTCTCTTATTCACCGATGGTAACAAATTCATCCCCCTATACACATTGTCCATCCAAAAATGTTTTATTAAATGTTATAAACTTATAATATATACTAGTAATTTAGAGATTAATTTTATTATTCTATTATTTATAAAAAATATATGACTATAAACCATTTGATTTTATAGAAATTAAAATTAAAATAAAGTTATTTATAAATAATTTTATATTTTTAAAACTAAAAATCAAACCAAATGGCAAAAAAATAAATTAAATAAACCACCATATATAAATATGGGTTGATTTGTGGATATGGAATATATATATATATATATATATATATTACAATTATACTAAATTTCTCAAATTAACCCATTATATCATTACTAAAATTACTCTATATAATTGCAATATAGATATATATATATATATCACAACAAAGATTAAGAGCTGAAGAGAGTAGTGGTGGTTTTGGTTTAGAGAGAGGGAGTAAAAGTTTCAGAGGGGGAGGAGAAAGAAGACACTGGAGTATTTTAGTAACTTCAAAAATAATTATTATATTTTTAATTTAATATTAAATAGGAAGGTCAAATTCGGCATTTCATAGTTTAGTTAACGGGTCGAATACGAATCACTTTTTAAAGTATCGGGGTTTTCTTTGGAGATATCAAAATTTGAAAATAGTGAAGGTTTTATGGAATTAGCTATATATATATATATATCAAGGGTGGGTTAAGAAAGAAAGTAAAGACAGAGGGTAATTTAGGTTTTTAATTTTATCTAGGGTGTGAGGGTAAATTAAATCAAACTTGAAGGGGTGTTATAGCAACTTTTGCTCATATTTAATCTGAAAGCAATAAACTCATTCCTCATGTTGGAGCATTTAACCCTTTATATTATTATTGTAGAATTATAAACATGTTATGGGTAAAAAAAGAAAAGAAAATAAAATAAAATAAAATACTAGTAAAATTTAGGGATAATTTCACCTAAACCCCCTGAAGTTGGCGCATATTTCACCTAAATGGAGATTTGGTTTTTAGCGACCACTTAGACCCCAATTAGTGGCTTAACATTTCACTTACACCCAAAATGCAATTTTTAGTGTTAAATGACTATGTTACCCTTTGACCTCGTGTTGACTATTTTTTGTGACTAAACTACCCCCAACACACAATTCATCTTCTTCCTCCTCTCCGACAATCGTCCCAATTAACCCACACCATCTTCTATTAGGGAAGTGAGGCGAGAGTGTAGATTGGCAAAGTGAGACCTCTCTGATATTTGTGAAGAGAGAGAGAGAATGATTCACATATATAGAGAGAGAGGAGCCCAATAAATAGAATAGGGGAGTCGAATATAAGTCGGTGGTTGAGAAGGTTGGGAGATCGGTTTGGCCGTGGATGACTAGTGGTGGCTTAGATGACAGCGACGGCGTGCTCGGGCGATGGCTGTGGATGAACTGCAACTGTGCACATTTGAGTTTGACCGGCGAGGATGAGGGAGCTCGGCGATGGACGGATAACTGAATCGGCAGCCGGCGAATGGGATGGACTTTCGGCGGTTAGCTGTGAGATTGAAGCGGCTAGGATGAGGGAGCTCGGCGATGGACGAGATGACTGAATCTCGAGCTCACTGCTGCCATCATCTGAAGCCACAAGCTTACTATCATCCGGACGGTCCCTGAGCTTGGGTTTTCTGCAACGCGAGAACTTCTCGACGGAGATAATTGAGAGCAAATCGCCGGAGGACCTCCAACTAACGGTCAAGATCTGCATCGACAGTCACCAATCGCTGTCGATCGCGATAAAGAGGACCTCCAACATGCCGTGACTGCTCCCCTCAAGAAGATCTCAATCGGCGCCTATGGAGCAATTCCAGCGACGGGGTGCTGAGCTTGTCTTTGCCATGGTTTGAGTCCGATTCTAGTTCGGATTCGTCTCCGGCGGGATTTGTTGGGTCTTGCGGGTCTCGATGGCAACCATCATTGCCGAGTTTGGGTTTGATTTGCAGGTTGTGGATTGTTGATTTTTTTCTTTTTTTTGTGGATTGTTGATTACATGGTCCGATTTTGTGAATTGGGGATTGTGGGATTGTGATTGGGTGTAAGATTTGGTTTGTTTGATTAATTACAGAGGTGGTGGTTTGTGGGTGTTTATGCATTTTTTGAGGTGGTGTGTTGGTGGTTGAAGGGGGTGGGTGAGAGAGACCGCAGACACAAACGAGAGAGATGAAAGAGGGGCATTTATATCATTTAAAATTAAAGATATTTTGTAGTATTAAAATTTTGAGGGTAAATATGTCCATTCGCATGTGTTTGAGGCCAAAAATCAAATTGGGGTCTAAGTGATCGCTAAAAATCAAATCTTCATTTATGTGAAATATACGTCAACCTCACGAAGTTTAGGTAAAATTAACCTTAAAATTTACTATGCAACAGAACTTACATGTAGACAAAATAATAGAAGTACAAGTTTAAGTGTTTATATATATATATATATATATATATATATATATATATTTGTCACATCATAGATATTTGAATACAATATAGTATGTAATAGACGGATAGCTCTAGGGCAATGCTTTAAAATGAATTTGCAATGTAGACAGAAAGGAAGAAGAAAATTAATTTAAAAAAAAAAAAAAGAAAAGAAAAAAAAAAGGGACCTTTCTGGAGAGGGAAATGCACTTTGAGAATATTTTATTCATTTCAAGCTGCGACTTCATATGTAGGGCCTAGAATCGTCTCCGTGGCACCTCTCACTAGAAGGTGTCCATGGCAGATCCAAGGGTTGAGATGAAGTCAAGTTAGCCTAATTTGTCATATCATCGCTGATAAAGTGCCAAGTCAGCAGTAAGTTTTGAAACTTATTTTTTTTACCATGTATAAATACTTTAGACAAAATACATACTTATCATATAAGAATACAATATAAAAAAATTATACCAAAATTACATTTTTTCCCCTATGCACCCTCATCCGTACCCTGGTTCAGATTTTGAATCCCTCTTAAATTGAAGTCTCAGGAATACGGCAGAGCATACTGCATTCAATAAAAAAGCAAAAGAATCAGATCTGCCTTGTGAAATGAAGGTAAAATCACAGAAAACTATATCAAATTATAATGTAAAAACTGAAATGGGAGGAATTGATTTTGTGCATTCAATAAAAAGCAAAAGAATCAGATCTGTCTTGTGAAATGAAGGTAAAAATCACAGAAAAATATATAAAATTATAATGTAAAAACTGAAATGGGAGGAAATGATTTTGCTAAGAACCTTGGACACTTCTTCAGTCATCTTCTTCAAATCGGATTGATTTTTGCCGAAACCATTCACCATTTCGCCGAACAAGAAGAAGAAAACCGGCATGGAAGAGCCGTGAACAATAGCTCCCAAGCTTCCGGAGATTATGAGAAGCCAATCGTACTTGTCGGCGAATGAGAATAGCTGATGAAAAGGAAGACTCTGCTCCTTCGATTTTGAATCATTATTATTACACCATTTTTTGCTATATCCACTTCTTTAAAATCCAAATGTGAAATAGCAATTCCATTGTTCGATGAAATGTCCGATAGAATTGTTCCACTCCAGCGGCAGCACGCACGCTCTCACGCATCAGCACGACCCTCCTGCTCCTGTTGCTGGTGCGGTCCCCTGAAGAAGAACTCTTCGTTTTGGTTCCTGAAGATGTCTTCCACCTCTCTTGCCAGTACATTGAATGCCAACTCCTTTGCCTCTCTCTCCATCTGATTTATTATGTTCCTCCTTCATCAGTCGCCGGATTCTTGATCAGTTACCGGATTCTTCACGAGTTCAATTTCAGAGGGAGAGAGAGAGCTGAAATTCAGAGGCAAATAATGATACAAAATGATTAACATTTTATTTTTGAGGGGAAATAACATCTGACATTTGGAGGGAAATTTTTGGGGGGAAATTTGAGGTTATATGCATACAGAAGTCTTGTACATATACATAGGATACTGTTATATACATAGGAGGTAAATATTTTATATACATACCTGCCATGTCACCCATGCCACGTCAGCAATGGAGACCCTCCTGTGAGAGGGTAGCAAGAGACGATTTTTCCCCATATGTAGACGCTAGGAAGAATTCCGGGGAAACCAAATCCTTGTACCGCTCGGAATGTAACTACTAGGTGGCAATATCTAATTAGATTCTGATTGACCAAGTTTGACTACCTATAACTTGTGTCCAAAGAAATCATACAATCCTCGCTTAACTTTCCTTTTGTGTTAGGACCAAGTAATATATATATATCTCTATATCTATAAATAGTCCTTTCCATCAACACAATACTTCTCATTCTACTCTCTTAGATTTTCAGTTCTAACACACTACTTCTCATTCTTCTTTCTTAGATTTTCAGTTCTAACACACTACTTCTCATTCTACTCTCTTGGATTTTTCCGTTCAGTGGCTTGCAGAGAGGAAAAGGATGGAAAGGTAACAATTCTCTTATGTTTTAATTATATATTAATTTGTATATGAGTGCATATATTAACTTTCGGGGTGGACTTATTTAAAATTCTGATACAGTAGTGGCCTAACTCTAATGTAGCTTGTGGATTTATATATATCTGTTTTATATATTTTGTTAAGTTATTTTAATTTTTCTTCTTCGGAATAAATTTCTTTCTTTCTTTTGTAGTTACATACTTTTTGTGTGTTGTTTATTGTATACGTACTTATCTCTGTTTCTTGTGCATATATATATATATATATTATTTTTCTGATGCGATGGATATCTTGATATGTGATTGAAAGCAGGCAACAATATCGGATGTCATTTATCGATGATCACATGGTGGTCACAAGTAGTCATCAGCAACACTCACCTCATCCTGTGCAAGCAATAAGAAGAGAAAACCGCCCCAGCTTGTATCATCATCAGCATCATCATCATCGTCGTGACATTGAAACCAGAGGAAGAGGTGGTCGTCCTTCTCTGGCTCCGGTCTATACCATGAATTCGAGTAACAGCCTCATACCCATTCATCAATTAGCGCCACACCAGAGACACCTTTTCGGAGATTATCTACCAGAAGATGTATGTTAATTTATCTTCTTCCTCTACTACTTTTATCTAGTTCCTTAATTTCCATATTGAATATAAAATATTACACTACTTATATATTTATTTAACCATCTAACATTAAGGATACTAATTAATATATTCCCTGAAAATATTGTTTGTAGGATGTGCTCGTGCTGGATGATTCTTCAGATTACTCCCTTTATAGTGGAAGCGGGCCTCACATTCCGGCAACCCCCAATTCAGATAATTTCCCTGATAATATGTCTTACGAGGTATCTACAATACTAAGTTAAAATTGAATGTGTTCTTAATTTAATTTTATACATAAATAAGATATGTATATCAAAACTAAAAGGACCCGTGTGCAACTTTGCAGGACGCACTAGAGTTTCAGGAACGAATGGGCCGGGTTAGCACTGGGTTGTCAGAGAAAACCATAGTAAATCAGCTTAACACGAGAACCCATGTTTCATCTGCGAATCAAGACGAAGAACTTGAAATTTGTGTCATATGCCAAGTACGTAAAACTATATATATGCATATATCTTCAGTCTCATACAAACCAATTCAATCAATTCTGTCACATTTGTGTTTGGTTTTAATTTAAGGCATACATCTTTGTCTGTTGATGATGTAATAACTAAAATGGAGTGTAATTTTGCAGGCGGAGTATGAAAAGAATGAGACAATTGGAAGACTTAGATGCGGACATGAATATCATGCAGACTGCATAAAGTCGTGGCTCCTTGAAAAAAATGTTTGCCCTATCTGCAAAGCTACACCTTTTTGATCATATATGTAGAGCTAGAAAGCCACTTTTAGAGAGGCCAAGGATGATGTATAGACTCTGTTTATTTCATTTGTTTCTTTTATGTCTATTGTGGACAATGTATCGACGTGTTTGTATATTTCAATTGTTTCATTTATTAACCATCTCAACCACTGAATCTTGCTGATTTAACCAAGATTTCTCTATAGTCTTGTATGTGACTAGTTCTAAAATTTCTTTATATCAATGTTTCAGAACCATTTAATAATTTTTCCATCACAAGGCCCCGATAACAATTTTGTACTTTAAAGTCTTTAATTAACTTCTGCAGCCTCTGCTTTCTAGCTTCAGTTTCATGGGCACCAACCTCCTATGGCTTGGTGTAATACCCCTAACTTTAAAAGGATAGTCTCGGTATTTATTTATTTGTTTTAATTGTATTTTTTAATTATTTAATTAATTATTTGACTAATTGTTTATGTGTTTAATTGAATTAGGTATTACTTGATTATTTGATTATGTGTCTATGTATTATTTGTATTTGTCTATGTGTTAATTATTTAATTAGATTATGTGCTTAAATGGTGTTTTGATTAATTGTAAATTAAATGTTTTCTTTTCTTTTATTATTTTATTTTATTTTTCTTTTATGATTATGGTTAGTAGTAATGGGCCAACCAATTGGGTCCCATGGATTACTTGGATAGGAGGTTGGATATGTATGGATTATTACCCATGGATAATGTATGTATATATATTATATACATATATAAAAAAGAAAGTAATTTATTAATTATTTCTATGGTAACTTGGGTAGTAATATTTAATCTGATGTATATGTTTTATATTTAAATAATAAAAATATACATAGATTTGATACGTGTTATGTTTTAAGTTACTTTATAATATTATAGTAACTTAAGTATTATTGGATAATCTATTAATAAATAATGGAATGTGTATAATTTATTTATTTAATAAACATATACATAAATTATATACGTAACATATTTTACTTACCTTTTTAATATATATATATATATATATATATATATATATAAGAGAAAGTAATTTATTAATTACTTTTATGGTAATTTGGGTAGTAATATTTAATCTGATGTATATGTTTATTTAAATAATAAAAATATACATAGATTTGATACGTGTTATATTTTAAGTTACTTTATAATATTATGGTAACTTAAATATTATTGAATAATCTATTAATAAATAATGGAATGTGTATAATTTATTTATTTAATAAACATATACATAAATTATATACGTAACATATTCTGCTTACCTTTTAAATATTTTTATTTTCATTTTTTTAGTTGACTTGGATTGGGAAAAGGGTTAGGGTTATTTTATTTAGCCTATAAATATATAGCTATAGGTTGTAAAAGGGGGTTAGAAATATTCACGTGATATATACTAGAGAGATAGTGTTAGAGAGGGAAGGAGGAAAAGGAAGGAATAAGGAGAAAAATCCTGTAGAGAGAAGATCAAGGAAGAAGAAGTTTAACTTTCGATCCAAAAGTTTAAGGCAAGTTCTTCTTCTATCTCTTTCCCTTTGATTCGTGTTTCTGTACATGCCTAGGAAATTCCAGAATTTATTAAACACATAAAATTAAATAATTATGCATATTTAATTGGGTTAGAACATAGGTTTTATGAAATTGGTTCATATCTGTTCTTATGTTATGAATTGATAAAATGCATGATTTTGATTTGATTTCTTATGTGAATTTTTACATGTTTAAATTATGTATTTTTCATATCTGTGAAATGATGGAACGTAGAAACATGCTTAGGATTCCTGAACATTTAATATGGACTAGGTTTGGGTTTTAATAAATTTAAATAGATTCAATCATAATGATGCTTGCTATTTGAATGTTTTAAACAAACGAATGGATTTAATCTTTTAAAATATTTTAGCAATTAAGATTAAATGTGTAGGATGAATTGGATATAGAGAATCCTTATTTAACGGTATAATAAAATATCATCATGTATAAGATTCAGTTTGCGTAGGACATATGATATAGGAAGTTTAAAGAAATAATAAGTCATTCCTATTATGTGATAACTTGATATCATATTTATCATAGTTATTTATGGAATGTTTGATGTATTTCCTTAATTGTTACACCAATTGTTGGATTGTGTGGTTTAATGCACCGGTATGGGACGGTGGCATTCTAAGGATGGATTAACTTATCAGTTAAGTCCTACCTATTTTATATAAGGGAATGAATTAACTAAAATGTTAAGTCCTACTTATATTTAAGTCAGGTCAGCTGAACAAGTTGAATGACTTATGGAGGATTAATTTATTATATAAGGGAATGGATTAACTAAAATGTTAAGTCCTACTTATATTCAAGTCAGGTCAGCTGAACAAGTTGAATGACTTATGGAGGATTAATTTATACTGGATAGGATGGTTACTAGATTTTATATATATAAGTATGATGCCATGATATGAGCTTGAGTCTCAGGATCAATGGTTAGGGCGCGTATATCGCCAGGGATGTGTAGCTAGATATAGTGTAGTTGTGTACCCTGGTAGGTCTAGGTACTCATGCCCACTACATGTGCGTTTTGCATGTTGCCTACTATTCAGGTTGAGACAACCCTATAGTCTAGTGAGGTTCCTTTAGTGTGTATATATATATATATACGGACTACTAGTTACTGTTGGATTGACTAGGATGTATACGTGTATCGGATCTCTGCTTGGACTGCAGTAGAGTAGAACTTGTTTGTGGGTCTGACCCACCATTATTTTTCAGGTGTTCGTCACGAGTAGAGGTTGTTCGTACTGAGCGGGGATCAGTCTACTTCATTCTTCCGATGCTACATAGGAGTTCCTTTATGATTCAGTTTCCTGTTTTAGATTACTGTCATTTGTTTAGTTTGGATTTTCTAGGGGTCCACACAGTATGAATTCCCGAGTTGTATTTTGGAGGATTAGTTGTATCAGAACAGTTTATTAATTAATGGAAATATATTATGAGGTTTATTATTAGATTATCATTTTAGTTTCTTATCAGCATTTTATTTATTTTTTTTTATTCTTTTGTACTCTGTGTTCGTTTATTATCAATTTGTTTTGATATCCTCGGGTATTCGGGCGTGGGCCTGGCCAACCCGCATTCGAAAATTCAGGGGTATCACAGTTGGTATCAGAGCACTCCAGGTTCAAGTATCCTTAAGAGTGTCTTTCGTTATATGACTTCCGCGTTGTGTCTCTTAAAACTTAGAGCCCATATTAGGATTCGTTGTACTTTATTTACGGTTTGTTAGGAGGAGCTGATGTCAATTATATTCTGTAGTCATAGAATGATTGGCACTAGAAAAAGGATGGGTTCAAGGTGAAAGCAATAAACACCCAAAGGAGTAGAGAAGTATGTTATCGATTTAGTTGCCAGAAGGCAGAGTTAAGGATTGACAGTTTAGGTTCGTTTGGCGTTACTTTAAAAGTATAAGCTAAGGAAGGATTTAGGTGTACGTGATAGATCACCGCATATCGGGGTCAACACGACTTCAGTTGATCTCAAAAAGGAGACAAGCAAGGAGTAGGAGCCGAAGAGGATCCCAATGGAGTAGATTTATGTGTATCCAATAGAGAGGGTACTAAATCTTGAAGAGGGATGATTGCACGAGGTGATCTGAATTGCTAGTAGTATAGCGAATGTTATTAGTAGAATTGGGGTTGATCAATCTACAAATAATTAAATATTTCTTATCATCTCTAAAAGAGGTATATAAGAAGTATTGTTCAGGAGTTTAGGGATCGGATGTATTCTTATCAGAACGAAATACATAATTTTTAAATCACATACAAAAAGGCATTGGTATTATGTTGTGACGTTCTAATTCGATTTATAGAGTCAAGTAAGACAGTTTACATTCCGCATATAAGGAGGATGAGGGTTAAGCCTTTGGTATTTGCTTAGGAAAACATTTGCGCTTTTAAGCGATGTTTTAAAGGATATGTTCGAGGTTGAATGATTATTTACGAAACTATAAAAGGAAATTTTGAAACAATCTAGTAAGGTTGATTTCAAAGGAGACTTTCTTTTCTAGAAAGAACGATGTCCTAAGTAGGAGTATATTTTGTTCTATTATGTTTATCATACGTGTTTTATTTTATTTTTTTGTTAATTACTCGGGATTTGGTATGTGGTTTAGTTGGGGACATAAGTGTGTGATCAACCAATTATTGTTTTAATAACATGGAGTCATAGCGCTATTTACGCTAAATTTGTGAGCATACGGTCATAAGATTTGGTAGATACACATAAATCTAACCAATCTATTGGACCTGGACATGTGTCATTTTGGTGTGTTTTGGGATGGGATAATTAAACCATCACTACGAGTCAAACAATCTAGAACGATTAATTTGATATACTTTACGTTAGGTATGGATTCGTATCATATTACAACGCCATGATATTGGTGATTGTTAATGTTTCGGTATGCGTGAGGTAGTGGTAAATAAAGATCACTAAAACGCCATGATGATATATCAGAGGTGCTGGATTTGCTGAACATCTTCTTGAAAATTTCAGAAGTCGTTACCAAGTCAGAAGGAGGATTTAGTACTGGATTAAGTACTTATTGGAATGACACCGAGTGAGGATAGGAGACTGAATAAATATTCATCAGTAAATTCTTAATCAAGAATTTGTTCAAGAGGGTGTGTCATTGGGAAGAATTTGCCGGTGCTACACATGGAGGAGGAAACTAAGTTTCTTCATTTCCATAAATAATATGGAATTATTTTTTTAGTCACAATTTACAACAATTAGCTGTTGCAAAGAAATTGATGACTTATGTAGAGGATTGGAAGATTTCATATTCTTTTGAAGTTAGATAAAGAAGTTGGATTGTCATTAACTTGTCTTAAAGAAGCAGGGTGTGTCAAAGACAAGATGGTGAGACCAAATACTTATATAAAGATGAGGTGCATGGTATGTATGGAAAGGTCGTAGTTTGTTGACTTTTGTTGAGTTAAAGTCATAGTTAACTATTGATAAATTGAATTACCGATTGATTTTTAATATCGGCAAGTTTATCACTGATCAGTGGTGGATAGATTTAGTTACAGAAT